ATGTATGTACTCGTATGTATGCAAACGCTTATGAATATTTTATACATACATACATATGTGGAGATATATTTTTGGTACTGAAATGCATCAACTGGTAAACTAATGCCGCATGCCACTTGTCTGCACCTTGTCTACTGCCTTCGCTGCGAGAGGTTGAAATCCGAAGATTGATGACATTTTGTCACTTGCGTGTATGATTTGTTAAATGCTTTGGAAAAAGTGCAAAAATAAAAACAACAAAAATTAATGTTAGCAAAATTATAAAAAAAAAAATCCAACAAAAAATTAAATTTTAAGAAACTTTTATGTTTTAAGTAGATAACCATTAATTATTTGTATTGTACATTAACAAAATGGAATTGAGGAAAAAAAATGAAAAAAATATCTTGATTTTAATAATTTAATATACATACTTGGCATTCGCATTTAATTGTGCTAACATAAAATTATTAAAATAACAAACTTTTTGAGTTATTTTTCCGCCCGAGACTCTGCCCGTGCATATTTCGCACAATTTTTCTCGCAAAAGATATTTTATCAATTTTTGTAAAGAGGCAACTGGAACTAAAAAACATTTATAAAGAAAAAAAATATTATTTTGAATATTATTTTTTTTTTCGATTATTATGAGAATCCATATTCTTATGTACATTGGATATACATATATAATTTGTATAATATTTGGTGGGTGCTCCGTCTTTTTTTGCTTTTACATAAAGATTTTTTTGCTCTTGTTTTTTCTTCCTTAAGGCTTTGCAGGAGAAAAAATTTCAAACGTTGAATATTTTCCGCTAATTATTTTTTAATATTTTTACATACGAGTATACGAACATGTTAGAGAATATTTATACCAAGAAGACTGAAAATATATGCTTGCTTGTAAAAAAAAAATGGTGAAAATAAAACAGAGTACGGGCATATAGTCTGCATCCTACTTTTGGACAGATACCGAGAGCTGAAAAGGGAAGCAAGATGCATTCGACACAAACAAAAGAGGCCGAAATGCGTGAATATGGATAACTTGAGAATCTGTCCACTAAACGCTGGAACGATGAGATATACGAGTTATACGATGGTATTGATATAGTTCAACGAATGAAGAGACAGCGGCTACGCTAGCTAGATCATGTCGTCCGAATGAATGAAAGCGCTCCAGCTTTTATCGTATTTGATGCAGTCCCGCCGTTGAAAGGATCAGGTGGAGAGCGACATAGTTTCATTTGGTATTTCCAACTAGCACCAAGGAGCGAAGAGAGGAACCGAATGGTGCGCTATTATTTATTCGACTATAATCGTGTAAGCGGTGCCCATGCCACTGAAGAAGAAAATAATTGTATAAATAAAATATTTTAACCAATGAAAAAATACTTATATTTAATTTTTATATTTCATAGAGTCATTTAAGCGAGAAAGAAAGTGACTAAAATAAACACCTCCTTTGCCTTAATGTAGCACAACGTGGCGTTGACAGCGGTAATTCAGTGATTTGTAAATGTCAAAAAGTCTGTCCTTTTTAAGTCCTTATACACTTACATAGTATGCAGAGAGCGAAACTGAAAAGCTCATTTCCTATTTCTGCTGCAAATGCGAAATGTGTGCTCAAAAACCACCCCCAAAGTATGTTGTGAAGCATACACGTATTTACATACAATCAATTCATGTGGATATATTTTAATTTTAATTACAACCTAAATTACTACGTCTCTTATGTCAAAAATGACAGTGAAAGTGTTTCTGTCTGGATAAAAATCATTTAAGCGTTGACTTGTTGTTGTTGAAGTTATAAAAATATTGGCATTTAAAGTAGAAATGTCGTTTGTGACATAACATCGATACATGCATACGTACTTGTCTATAGAACCAATGCACTTTTTGGCCATCTTGATAGGAACTTAGTTTTTAAAAAAAAAATCAGTAAATTTTTTTTCTTTACATTTTTATAGAAAATAAATATAGAATTGTCATTTTGCATTTAGTTTTTTTTTTTTTTATAAATTTGTTACAAAATTTAAATTTTTATTAGCAGTACATATATGTACATATATATACGGTTGTTATAGGTATTTAATTTTATTATTCAATCATTATATTCAAGTACAATAACTCATTTAATAACAATTTTTTCGTCGAAATGGCGGTTGCTAATTTAAAAACACGCTCAAAATCATAATTCCATGCAGTGTGGAAGCTGTCAAAATAATAGCACCAACAATATGAATTAAAATAAAAGTTACAAATTTGCCTAATATTTTTCTAAAATAATTTAAAAACGGTAATTTGCTATTGGCATACATATTTTAACACTAATTTTTAAAGAATGTTTTCGCTCTTGTTTTCGAAATGCGTCCTACTAACCGCTGTACAGGTGAAAATCCCGACTTAATAATAAAAAAACTAATTCCTGTGGGAAAAACTTATTTCCTAGTTACAAATATTGTTGGTTGCTAACATAAAATCCCGCAAAATGCGGGAAATAAATAAATCTGCGTTCATGTCAGCTGCAGAAGTGAAAAAGGAATTACAACTTCAGCACTGGGACAATAAACAGGAGACTTAGAGAACATAAAAGTCCCCCTTTTGACAAATAAAAATGTGTCCAAACCGTTGCAGTTTTCTAAAAATACCAATAACTTCGGAAAATAATAGAAAGCTTACCGTCATTATTTAAATTTTTTATTATTAGCTCATCACCATCTCTTTTTCATTTGTTTTTGTTCTATTTTGTGCTTATTTTCCAATATCAATAATTCCTCTATTACTGAATTCGTAAATCTAAGGGATTCCATTATATTGAAGGATTTATATACCGAATCCCTCTTACGCATATGTATGATGTACAGCTAAAACATTTCCTATTCTTCCACTCACTCACTCACTCACATCAATCAGCTAATCAAACCAGTCACTGGGTCAACTTCAACAATCCTTGAGAAATTGCCAGCAACCTGACACACTTTTCCTTTAAAAACGCACACATTTGCGATCCTACTCCGTTACATAAGCTCGGAAGTGCAAGCGCTCTCTCGCCAATTTTCCTGCCTTCGCGACTTTTATGAAGCCATTTTACTACTGCAGTGCATCATTCACTTTGCGATGACATAATCGGATTCAATAATCATGTGTTTGTATAAAAGTATGTAAGGAGGTTTGTATCTGCGCATACAGTGAATATTGACTAAATAGAATCCTTGGCTAGAGTTGGATTAGCTTAAGAAGCGTTGGATATGTATATTTGAATTTTTTTTATATAATATTTATGTATGCAACTGTGTATTTGATAGATGTATAGTAAGAGTTATTGCTATAAATTGCAACTTGTTATAGAAGCATTATTTTTTCTTTCATTTTTTTTACAAGTATGTATTGCACATACATTTATAACTTCTTACAGAATAAATAAAAATTGTGGCGCTCTATCAAATCCTACCTACTTACCTACCTACATGCTCGTATATATATACTTCTCTACCAACAAGTTATTCAAAGTGATTTATGTGTCTAAATTTCCTTAAAGCCGTAGTTGAAGGGAAATATTTTTACCACCCCAGCGTTCGAACATGTTGCATGTTGCGAATGAGGCTGTTAAGTTACAGCTGTTGATATATTAACAGTTGATGTTGTAATCGTCATTAATAATGAGTGTATTAAAATTGTATGAGAGTTTTTTGGTTTCATTATTAAAATAAAATTTAAATAAAAACCATTTACTCAATAAAAATAAAATAATAATAAAAATTGATAAATTGATATTTTTTTATTTCGAAACAATCCATATTTTTCTTTTATAATAACAACTGCTTTAAAATATTTCCGTGCACACACAAACATATGTGTGTACTTATGTAGATTATATTTTTTTCCTTTTATGGCTGCAAAATTATTCATTAACATTGCCTCTTACCACTTTCTATTAGTCTTCCAATAGTTACTTCTACGACCGTGACCTCTGCTTCCCTTCACTTGACTTCTCACGCTGATCGTTGCCTTGGGTGCATACTTACATACATGTAGATAGGTTGTTTTCACTAATTATCTTATTCAATGCGTTTGCCTGAGTTGAAGTAAAAGCAACCAGTTCGCACAAAACGCAAGCAAATTGTGAAATGTACGCGCATTCATTGATACAATTGTAACTTTAGCTAAATATAATATTTTTTATATGCATTATCTGTACAGACGTGCTTATATCTGTACATAGATGAGGCGTAACTACATTAATTTTCATACATTTGGCACCTATTTCCTTAACCAAAGTCCCACTGACGTCATAACTGAAAGCGGTGGATTATATTGCAAATATTTTTCGCTTTCGAAATCCCTTAGGCTTTGCTTCAGAAAAGAATGGAATATTATATTATCAAATAGTCATTATCGTTGACATCTTTTTTTTATTTAGTCCCACAACCTAATTTTTTGTTAATTTCCCTCCTTACATAAGCACTTACGCAGCTGCGGTAGATATTTGCTACAAACTTTGTGTATATTTGTACCTACCTACATATTACTCACAAAGTAATTTTTTCGTTAAATCAACGCCGTCGTGTGTTTTTAAAATTGCTAGCTTACCTATTTAAAAAACTTGGAAACTTTTTTTCAAGAATTAGTAAGTGCGCTATGTTTGCGTTTGTTATCTGTGTGGGGAGGCACGAATTTTCTGCGAGTTGCAAAATGTTAAGATAAGTGCATAATTTATAGTCATGCTGTTAATTAACGAAACATCTGTTAACTCTGTGCTTACAGCATTCCATAACCAGTGAAAGTCAACAACATCAAGTTATTAACAGCTGTTCCTTTTATGTTAACAGCTGTAAAGTCTTCATTAACATTCTCTGCTCTGGTAGTTGGTTAACAGCGTATCGTAGACAGCATTAAAATTAACATTTTGTTTACCTCCGATTTTCAATGGAAGGTAATTGCTGTTGCTTGCGAACTGTAAACAAACTGGTTCGCCTATGAGCGACTCGGTACTCGTCCGACCGGTAGGTTGCTGCTCGTTTAGTCACATGTTATTGCTTTTGCCGGTTTAACGCTGTTGTTGAAAAAAAATTTCCCTTAGTTTTAGTTCGACTGTGTATTTGAATGGGTGATGATTGTTGTGTATCGGAAGTTCGTTCTTCGTAAACTGGAAATACACGTGAATTTTACGGATTATTTGTGTTGTTAAAAGTGCATATAAACACAAAAAAGGAAAATGTGTGGATTTTCTCAAGAATTATTTATCGAATTCACTTGTGAAAATGAATTAAGTTCCGTGAAATACATAGCTGAGCAAGTTGATAATTTCCCTTCTGTATTATAAAAATAATACTATATTTCAAAACAAAATAAAAATACAAAAAAAAAGTAGTATTAATAAATTTTTGTAATACCATTACCTTAATTTCATCACCGCTTTGTTAGATTATATCATAAAAAGTGACAGTGTGTTGAATTTGAAATTCGCGTATAAAAATGCAAATTGTCGTAAAGTTAATATATGCACATGTGTACTTATGTATGTCCGCCATGCAAAACAGGTGACTAACCAAGACAATCAAATGTGTTACGCCAAAACTAATGGCTTAGTCACATATTAGTAAATATTTACATAAAAGTTTAGCAAAACAAAATAAAAATAAATAAATACAACTGCACAATGGTTACCGAATTGGCAAATATTCAAAAATCTTTAGCATACCACACACGTTGGTATTTCAAGAAATGAAATGTTTAAAAATTACCAAATTAATGAAAAAGTGTAAAAATAAAAAAAAAATAAAAAATAAATATTAATAAAAGTAAATAAAAAAATAAAGTGTATAAGTTTTGTGGCATAAGTTCAGTAAATATTGTTTTTGCTTGGTGCAAAAATTTAAATCTCAAACCACTCAACTTAGTCTTTTGAAAAGTTTACAAAATTTCGCACTCAGGCGTACAATTGGAGTAATTGCAGCGTAGTTTCAACTAAGCTTTTCTGCATATTTTTGCTCAACATGTTGGCCGTCAAGAATTTCTTTTTACCCGAACGCACCGCAGCTGCCAAGCCACCCGAAACGCCACAGCGTTTTTCACGCATGCCTGAAGCTTTTCTACGGTCCATACGGCGGCGTTCGTTGCGTGTAAAGCGCGCCAAAAGTTTGGTGGTACCCGATCGGGAGAAGCGGAAATCAGGTGAGGTAGCGTGTTGTTTAGTGAAATGTGAAGTGGGGAGTCAGAGGAATAGGCAATAAAAAAATGAAAAGTACAATTAATTTATAAGCATTTCAGAAAAACTGAATACAGTTGAAATGAAAAATTAAAAAATAATTAATTTATGAAAGCTCAGGGTAAAAGTTATTGAATAAGACTAAAAGCTATTAAACTGAAATATAAAATGTAAGTTCTAAGTCTAAAAAGCTCGAAGCTATATATAGCTTTCATATATGCGCTTTTTTGCTATTTTAGTATCAATTATTTGAAAGCTTTCACTAGTAAAGCTAACTTCCCTCAATTTTAGTATATTTTAATTTTATAACTAAAAATTGTCTAATTTTTTAATTTTATAAATTGTATTTAAAAAAAATAAAATTTATTGGTAATTGAGCTTTAAAGAAAATCTATGAAATTGTTTTCAAAAACTAAAGTTTGGTAGAGCAAGAAGCTAATGAAAAATACGTGTTAAGGAGACCTCGACGTTGTTATTTTCTTTATTTTTTGTTTTTATTCTCAAAGTTAGCACTACTGTTTTATGAAAATAAATATATGGATTTCAATTGTTTAAATGTTTGTTTGAAATTTTACAATTTGGTTTGTTCTTTGGAACTTCAATGACATTAACTTTATGGAAAAAAGTTCTGAGAAAAAAGACCACAATTTTGTTCTAATAGAAACAAGCGCTTTTGGCTGCGTGCCTGTCGCTACTGGTTAGACAACAATTGCTTGCTTAAACACCTATTAATATGTTTAATAGCAACATAAACAACAACTATTAGCGAAATAAGTCAATAATGCAAAACTTTTAACACTTTGGTGTTAAACATCGAGCAATAAAACAGTGACATACATACATATATGAAACAACTGAAGAATGATGCCGGTTGCCAGCAGCAAACTGGCGATTTTTTGTGCCATAAATATACAAAAGTATGTAAATAATTTTGTGCCATAAATATACAAAAGTATATAAATAATATGAGGCGTTCGCAATTAGTGGCTGTTTATATATTCTCAAGATGTTTAATTTTTGCATTAAATTGAAATTTTATTTCATTTAATTCACATTTATTTAAGGCAAATTAGTCTAAAATTCTTCTTCATCTCTATTATTAATCATTTCTTCTTTAATATAAATTTTTCCTATTGTCGATTACTGAATTTTTGAATTACCTAACACTTACTCTGCTTCACTCTTTTGCTATTGGGTTGTAAATTGTTGTAAATTTCTAACTAATTGCTATTATTGATATTTTGTCAACTATGCTTTTGAAACTTTCGATTTGCCGCACCAGCAGCAAGCTGCGGAAATGTAATGTAAGCATTCATAAAATTTTGTTGCGATTTTCCGCTTCGCTGTGGTTTGCCACTTGAAACCATGAGTTAAGTATTGAACAAAAAAAAAAGCTGTTTGCCGGCAGATATTCAGCTTTTCAATTGAAAACATGTCTGCAAGCATATTTAACTTCTTTTTTTTTATTATTTACCATTTTTGTTTTAGCTATTAAAAATGTTGTTTAAAGCTGCGATTACCAGCTGTTTTTAGTAGTAAACTTACTGCAGTTTTTTCTCACTCTTCCCTCAATTATTCATTGCCACTTTTACTGGCTAGCAGCTACTGTTTTGCTGCTTCATTGGTTTCTTGGCGTGCATTGTTGTTGCTTATTTGTTTTTATGCACTTTTATTGCCAGGTTTTAGCTTGCAGTCGGTTTCACTGCTTAATTCATGGTTTAGTTTGATTATTATTTTTTTCTTTTCTTTGAAATTCAAGCTTCATCGGAAGCATTATTTTATTCTCTTTCGTCTTTTTCTGCGTTTTATCATAAGTAACTTATGTAAGCGTTTTCTTGTATTTCTTCCTTGTTTTTTCTGTCGTTCAATTTTTTCTCTTTAACTTGTTTCAGCGGCAAAAGGAAATAAGTGTTAAATTCAAGGGCGAGAAATAAAAATAAAATTTAAAAGAAAATCAAGAGCAAATATTTTTTATGTAAAGGAAATTTTGTATCACATATTAGATTTTATTTGATTAATTATGTATCAGTTCTTTAAAAGATTAACAATTGATAAGTGAAGGTAGTGGTGTAGTTAGTTAATTAGTTTAACCCTGATCAAGCGCAATTGGTCCTACTGGCCCTTTGTGATACCTATGTTAGTCCTTGTAGAGAGATTCTTTTCACCTTTCCAAATGCTTAAACCACTGAATGATGCCTACCAATGCAAGCTCTACAAGGCTATCAAAGAAGAAATTTCCTACAAAACGATATCGATTCGCACTGAAAGGTGGCAAGTGCCAGAGGTAGTGTTCCAGCGATTACTGCTACAGCTGCGGTAGAAGCAGCCCATCCTTTTGCCATTAGATACATAAACAGTGTCCGGGTATTAAGCCGTTTGTTTAGCTTATGGAGACCCGGTTTAGAAAGAGTACAGACTTAGTTTCGTTTACTTCGATTAATGGCCAGATTTGTCACATTGACAGATTTCGCTCTAACATCCTGGTAGATACTTTGCCGAGTAAAGCAGTATGCCCACGTGCGCCCGGTCTACCGTGGTTAATACTGTTTCCTTTTTGATCAGTTTGCCGGCTACACATTTCCCTGCTATATCCCTATAACCAGGCACCCAAACTACGGACGCTTCGCATACAGTCGAGCTGTTTAAGTTCTCTCTGCATTTTATTGCCATCACTGAGGTGGTATGAGGGACTTATTGGCAGCCTAGCTGTCAGAATATATTTTAATAAGTGGAGTTGACGTATTGAAACGGCTTCCGTTAAAGCGGTTAATTTCACTTGGAATACGCTGCATTGGTCGGGATATCTGTTACTTAATTCTATAGCAAGAGGTTTAGAGGTAACTCCACTTTCTCACCTAGCCCAGAGCCGTAGATGAAGATGATCTATTATTCAGACTGCAGCATTTTCCCATTCATTCCTCTTTGAGTCTCTGAGGCTTTTGTTGAGAAAGTTTTGTCGAAACTCAAGATTCATGTGATGTAGTCTACCTCTTTCGAGGGGGAAGTGAAGAGGTAACTTCAGAAAGTCGGGAAAAAATTAGAAAATATCGAACGATTGTTAATTTATAAAAAATGTCAGAAAACAAATCAAAACTCATATTATAATTTCAAAAAATTGCAAAGTGAAGATCAAAATTTAAAGATCAATTAAAAAACACAATAAAATCACAGAAAATTTTAACGAAAAACTAAATGTAAAAGGATATTAATTAGTTTTAATTACAGTGAATGTACTTAAATTAAAACAAAAAAATATTGAGCTATTAAATTTACTTATAAAAATATATCTTTGAAACAAGCACAGCACGTTAAGTAAAAATACAAAATTTTTTAATATACAAAAAAGTTACTAATGCTATTAAATTTAATTAACTATGCACATTAATTACTCCATTCTACCCACTATCATACTTACATTCCTCAACCAATTTGCTTAAATATGTTTAATTAACACTTCCCTATTTTTATTTAATAAATTTCTCACTTAGCTTTTTTCACACTCACGGCGCTCTGCCAGAATACACCTACGCCAAAGCTTCTGCTAAATTGTTAAAAAAAAATATTAATATAAATATATATATATATATATATGTATATATGTAACATGTGCATTAAAATTGCAATTGACATCGATTAAGAAGTGCAACTGCAAACCACACATTGAGTAAATCACGTCAAGAAGAAATAAACTATGTAGAGAAAAGAGTAGTGAAATATACGAGTACTTACTTCATGTACAAAATATATCAATAAATAACGGGGTTTTCAATAAAAGGTGTTATTATAATATTCGAAGGAACTTTTCCCTTAAAAGATCGATGCTTTCGGCCATAATTCGGTGGAAATGGGCTTCTTCAGACGAGATGATTTTTCGATGAAATTTGTATGGTGAATTTTAATAATTTTTATTGCTGGCGTAAAAACTTACTTGTCAAATGTCTAATGTTTACAACTTCAAAAGTGACAGCTACCGGAATAGCTGTGTTGTTTTAGCCATTTATAATATGTCCATGATTTGTCTTTTTTTCATTGGATTCAGTAATATTTACAACGCAAGAACAACGTTTTCAAACAAGGACTTGGAAACGATGGCTTTTTTTTTAAGAAAATTATGTTCTCTGATGATGCTCACTATCAGCTTAGTGGTCGGGAAATAAAAAAAAAAAACTTTCGCTTCTGGTGCGAAGAAAATCCACAAATTATTCACGAACAAACAAATTAACAGTTTGGTGTGGTTTTTTGTTTGGTGGAATCATCGGTCCATACTTCTTTCGAAATGGAGCTGGTAGCACCATTACTGTCAATGGAGAGCGGTATAGATCGATGATAACCAACTTTTTATGACCACAATTGGAAGAAGTTGATCTTAACAACATCTTCTTCCAACAAGACGGGGATACGTGCCACAGCACGTTCGAAATCCGAATTGTTGCTAGAAAGGTTTGGAGATTCTATTATTTTAAGAAATTGTGACATTGAATGGCCTCTAAGAAGTTGGACTCAACACCATTAGACTACTTCTTGTGAGGTTATTTGAATTGGGTTCCTGGAAAAGCAGTCGTGGAGGCCAGTTGTGTAATGTTATATTCAGAACTTAATTGTATCGATTGCACTTCACATTAAATAAAAATCATTTGAATTTCCTTAACAATTGTAGTTTTTTCTTTTAAGAAATCATATTGCTCTTACTGGAAACCCACTTCATATGTTGCTACGTACTGCTGCAGTACCAGTGTGGCAGTTGTCAGCAACATTTTTATTAAATTAATAAAAAAAAAAACAAATCCCCTGCTATTTTTCTCTCTGTGTGTGTATAGAAAATAGCAGCCAAATCAATTTTAGTATTGTAATTTCGCGAACATCTCTTCCGCCTGCGTTGACCACTTCACATGACATACTCGTATGTAAGAGTTGACACCACACACAAAACGTATGTACATACACACATACGCACGCACATAAGTGT